TATGAATTAAGAGATTAATACCAACACTTCCAAATACCCTGTTAGACTGAATCACATAATACTGTTAGCTATGTTTGCTATGCAGAAGGTGTACCCATCTTTGTCCTGTCTTTGTTGATTTGGTTAGGACATTTACTCTAGTTTTTCTTGTAATATTCCTCCATGACATTAGTCAAAGTTGACCTGATAATTTCTAACCAACAGAATTTTTTTGAGATCATATTTTACATCACACCAATGTCTTGTCAGTCAACTCTGAAAATTCATGGAAGATACTATTATTTCCTTGTTACAGCAATGTTGAATACCCTTTAATCATGTTGTCTTTAAATATAACATATGAAAAATTAGGAAATTACTACTATTGTATTTCAATCATTCAACAAAAAATACCATAAGATCTTGCATTTAACACTAGAAACATTTATTAGCATTTCTGCATTTGTAAGCTATTATTGGAATGCCTAATTGTACAAAATTTTGCTAACTTTTGGATAAATGAGAATTCCTTATTGAAAGTCAATCTGTAAGAGCAAATTTTATTAAAAAATCAAATCTTTATTTACTAGAAAAATACTTTAATTAATTAAAAATATTACTATTACTCTTTTTAAGGATCCCTGGTGGTATAATGGGTTAAATGTTGGACTGTTATCTGCAAGGTTGGCAGTTAAAATCCACAAGTTGATACATGAGAGAAGGGTAAATCTGTCTGATCCCATGAAGATCTACAGTCTTGGAAACCCTATGGAGCAGTTCTGTTTTGTTTTATAGTGTTGCTATGAGTTGGAATCGACTTGACAGCAATAAATTTGGTGTGTTTGTTTTTCTGTGAATAATATTCAATGAATAATACGGAGTCCAATTATTCATTGAATAATACGGAGTCCTGTTGTGGCACTGTGGGTTAATGCATCAGACTGCAAAGTCATTTGAACTGCAAGATTGGTGGTTCAAGCCCACTAGCTGTTCCTTGGAAACTATCTTTATAGGGTTGCTATGGGTCAGAATTGACTCAATGGCACTTAACAACAACAACAACAATATGCAAAGCTTATCAAATTTTGTTTATTTTAATTCTTGTTGTGAATTGTCACCGAGTTAGTTCCAACCCATAGCAACCCTATATAGGGTTTTATAGGAATGACTGGTGAGTTTGAATTGCTGACCTAGCAATTCAAACTGATCTTGAGGTTGAGTGCTTATCCTATGGCACCATACCATCTGGGTACACAGATATTGTCTTTCATTCAAATTATTTTTTAATTGGATGACTGAGATTTTAAAAGAAAACATTAATTTTAAAGACATTTTCTAGAGATGATTTATTTACAATTTTAAAAAATCCCATGGTGGATTTTCACATATTTCTAGAAGATGAGTTAATAAATTCCTGAGCTTTCAACATTTGCAGACCCACTATGTATTCATTAATCTTGATACAATGTTGGCAAATGAAATCTATTGCTGATTCCAATATCTCTGTGGGAAATTAAAATAGCTTCACATAGTGACATTTTCCAAGAAGCAGTTTTTGATGCTATGAATTCAAGGGTGATCAGCATAATTGAGCAATCTATTCTACACATGTATTACACTTACTATTTGGCAGGCACTGTTCAAAATGCCTTACAAATGGCATTTAAAACTTGAAACAACTGAATGAAAAAAATACATATATTTGTTCCCTCATTTAACAGTTAAAGAATTTCAGGCATACATAGGTTAAACATGTTTCCCAAGGTCACATAACTGGTTAGTGGCAAAGCCTAGATTTGCAATCAGCCAAGTTGGCTCTAGAGTCTCCCACTATTAAAAAGCATGAAATTCAGTGAAGACATCTTTTTACATGAAGACACACAGGGGTAGTTTGCCAAATAAATTGAACTTTGTTCTTATTACTGACTAACAACAAAATTAGAAAAAATTCTGGCAGTACGTCATTAGTTTATCTTGTTACTAACAGTAGCCATTAATGCAAGTTGAACATCCATGTTTCAAAGAGAGATATCTTATAGCGAGTCTAATGGGTTTGGGATTATATGAAGTATCTGAAAAGACAATCTTTCTCTTGTTTTTCTTCAAGGAAAGGAGAGGGAACTAAACTATAACTTTGGAAACTGTAATTAATTTCCTCAATAATTCACTAATTTTAAAATTCATACCTGAGTATCACATTTTTAATATTTACAGATACTGAAAACTGCTTCCTCGAGATGTATTAATAGCTCATTAATATTTACCAAACATACATACATTGTTTGCAGGGCATTTCCCACTATGATTCTGGCAAAATGTTAGATAAGGGTTTCATTGTGGCATATTTATATACTTCATTAATTAATATGCATGTTGCAAAAGACAGTAATATGGATCTCAGCTCTGGGTTCATAATTGAGTTCAGCAGCTGCTTCTGTTTTGATATACACAGATGTGTGAATCAAGACACTGGACTAAAAATGTTAAAGTAGACTTAATTTTTAGAACAATTTTGCTTAATTGTTTCTCAGTTGTACAATAGGATTATGTAAATGTCATTAAATTTATTGTTAAGGTTTATGTTTTCTTTTAACGGCTTTTATTTCTCTGATTTCCAGACCGCTATATCATAGTTGGCAGCCACCATCATAACTCACACAGTTATGATGGACAAGAATGGGCCAGTAGCAGTGCCATAACCACAGCTTTAATCCAGGCCTTGATGCTGAGAGTTAAGAATGGGTGGAGACCAGACCGCAGTATTGTTTTCTGCTCATGGGGAGGAACAACTTCTGGCAACATTGGCTCATATGAATGGGGCGAGGTAAAATAAAATGCACATTGATTACTAATCTTTTTGTTGTTGTTAAAGATGTTAAGTGAAACTGTTGAAACCAAGGGCAAGGGTGTCATGTCAGCTAATTTAATGAAATTACCTGTAAGGAAGGAGGAAACTTATAGTTAGAAAAGAGTGCATTTGTATGATCTGTAACTATTTTATCTGTGTTAACACCAGACCTGTTGTTGTTGTTGTTGTTAAATGCTGTGGATTTGGTTCCCGCTCATAGTGACCCTTTATTGGGTTTCTGAGGAGGGGCTGGTGAGTTTGAAGCAGTGTATATCCTACAGTGCCACACACCAGGCATATAACCTCTGATATAGCTACAATAGTGTTTACTTGGCAATTTTGGTTCACCTTAAATAGCAATGTTGATGGTAACTGGAAAAGAAAAGATCGAGAAATACATATCTTTAGCTGACTTATATTTTTAACTACATAGGGACTACTGGTATGGCACTTTGTATCATTACTGGACTGCAAACCATAAGGTCAGCAGTTTAAACCCAGCATTTGCTCTTTAGAAACTTTATACAGGGTAACAATGAGTCAGAACTGACTCAACTGTACTTAGCAATAACAAATATAGGAATTATCTGAAATTAGTAATATCATCACTTACATTAAATGTTCATTGCCTTAGTATTGATTTTGATATATAAAAGATGGAGATTGGTCTCAAAATAGTAATTTCTTCCCTTTATTCTCCCTCATGTTCTCCCTATTTACCCTGCATCCTTTCTTATCTCTCTATCCCCTATCTAGTCTTTCTTCCTTCCTTCCTACCTATCTATGTATATCTAGAAAACCTTGTCCAAATAGAATCTAGAAAACAATGGGGTTATAGTGAGAACACATTCAAAAACTTCAGCTACATTTGTGTCTGACAGGTCCGTTGTAGTTTTAATGGAGTGTCCTGGTGTGGTGCTGCAGGTTCATGCATTGGAGCAATGTCAGTTTGAACTGCAAGGTTGTCAGTTCAAGCTAACCAGCTGCTCCTTGGAAATCCTATGTGTTGGAACTGATTTGATGGCACATCAACCAATAGTTGGATTAGTGCATATTAACAAAACCAAGTAAAACTCAGGTATTCTATTGACTTTTATGATTTTGTTTTTAAATGTTGAATGGTAATGTGCTGTAAAAATAAATGCAGCACAGTTTTAATAAAGAGAATAAAGCCATTTGGTATTTTAGCAGGTTCACGAGCTATACTTTCTTGAAAAACAAATGCATAGATAAAAAATGTTAAATATCTAACAGGAAATTATCTTATTTCATTTTTTAAAGGTAAGTACTCAAAAGGATAAAATATAAATTTAATATCAAACAATACACCAAAATCTATATGAGAAAATAATGTTTTGTCTTTCTGACTTTAAAAAAAAGTTTTAAAGATAAAATAAATTTTACAGTGTTTAAAATTCATCAAGATTCGCACATTGTAATTTGAATAGTTTTCCGTAGGCAAATTAGTGTTGTCAATGCTTGTTCCATGTTCAAAAGAGCTAACTTAAATGAAGATATTCAGTTGTTAAAAGAACATCCTTAAATTGACAAATTTTCAAGAAGGATGAAACATGTAATTACTTCACTTACCTTCCAAACTTCTAATCTGAGTTACTTGTTTTAAAGGCACAAAGAAGTTAAACAACAGTTTTGGAAAAAAAATTTTTTTTCTAAATGTTTTGATTTATTTCAGAAAAACAAAAAATCATAATGAAAGCAATGATGAAATGGTTCTTTTCAAATGCCAAATTTAAGGATGGTCTATCTAGGAATAAATGTAACAGAGAAGCACAGGACTTATACAAAGAAAACTGCAAAACACTACTACAAGAATCCAAGAGACCTACAAAAAATGGAAGAATATACCATGCTCCTGGATAGGAAGACTTAACGTTGTGAAAAAGTCAATACTGCCCAAAGTAATTTACACATATAATGCAATCCCAATCCAGATTCCAATGACATTCTTCAAAGAGATGGAAAACACAATTACAAACTTTATATGGAAAGGAAAGAGACCCAGGATAAGCAAAGCACTGCTTAAGAAGAAGAATAAGGTTGGAAACCTCTCACTCCCTAACTTCAAAATTTATTACATGGCTACAGTGGTCAAAACAGCTTGGAACTGGTACAATGAAAGATATATAGATCAATGGAACAGAATCAAGAAAATCCAAAAATTAACCCAGCCACATACAGCCAACTGATTTTTGACAAATTACCTAAATATATCACATGGGGAGGTGACTGTCCCTTCAACAGATGGTGCTGGCAGAACAGGAAAGCAATATGCAAAAGATTAAACAAGACCTTCACCTCATGCCTTATACAATAACCAACTCAACATGGATTAAAGACCTAAATGTGAGTCCCAGAATTATGAAGACCAACAATGAAAAAAATAGGGACAAATGTGACGATGCTAATTCAGGGCATATACAGATTACCAAACATTTTGAAAACTACACAAACAAAAGTAGACAAGATAGATGATTGGGACATACTAAAAATTAAAAACTTATGTGCATCAAAAGACTTCACCAGAAGGGTAAAAAGGGAACTCACAGAATGGAAAAAATCCTTTGCAATTACACATAATACAAGGGACTGATTTCTAAATATATAGGAAACTACAACACCTCTACAAGAAAAAGACAAATAACCCCATTACAAAATGGCGAAGGACATGAAGAGACACTTCACCAAGGAGGAGATCCAGGCAGCCAAAAAACATATGAAGAAATGTTAAGGATCACTAGCCATTAGAGAAATGCAAATCAAAACAACAATGAAATATCATCTCACACCAACAATAACAGCAAAGACCAAAAAAGTAGAGGACAATAAATGCTGGTGGGGATGTGGAGAGACTGGGAGGACACTCTTGCATTATTGGTGGGATTGCGATTGCAAAGTGGTCCAACCTCTCTGGAAAGCAATATGGTGCTTCCTCAGAATGTTGGAAATACCTTATAATCCAGAAATTCCTGCACTTGGTAGTTACTCACAAGATATACGAGCCATAACATGAGTAGATATATACACACCTATGTTCATAGCAGCACTATTTACAATAGCAAAAAAGATGGAGGCAGCCAAAGTGCCCATCAACTGAAGAATGGATAAACAAACTGTGGCACATACACACAATGGAATACTATGCTACCTTGAAGAACAACAAGGAGGCTGCAAGCCACTACATAACATGGATGAACCTTGAGGACATTATGTTGAGTGAAATTAGTCAGTCACAAAAGAAGAAATACTGCATAGGACCACTGCTGTAAACGACTAAGAAAAAGAATCCCTTTAAGGGGAGTGGGATTCTTTGCTGGTTACCAGGATGTGGGAGGTGGGATGTGGGGAGGGACGGGAAAGTGGAGTACAGGGTAAAAAATAGACACAGGATAGTTTGGGTGTGATGGAGAGGGCAATACACAAGAAGGGGGAGGTGAATGGAAGAACAAAGTGGATGGGAAAACAATTAGACAGGTTTGCATGGGCTAAGTGGGAGAGAGGTAAATAATGATATATGCACAACCTTGGAACATCAGGGCTCTAGGATACAGGGATTGAGACATGGTTGGAATGGGCAAAAGGGGGAAATAATGTTAAGATGCTTGGCTGTCTTATGAATCTT